CTCAGACACTGAGTATTGTGTGATACGGCCATGGAGGAGGGGGAGGGGACATTTTCCCTGAAATCAACCTGTGTTGGGCTTCAAACTGTGAGAAGGCTTTGCAATCCTGGATCTGTGGGATTTATGGCACACTGACCCAGAAATCTCACACTCTGCTTCAATATCGCTTGTTCCTACAGCTGAAGCGCCATCTCTTAATGACATTTCCTTGTCTGACAATTCCCTTTGCTCTGACCAAAGGAGACAGCACCTACTCGTGTTGCATAAAAGAGGGGAAGAAGTGGCCATTGAGAATGATGCACAGAGTGTCTTTGGTTTTGAACAACCCGGCTTTTCCACTCTACAAGCATCATTTGGATTTAGAAATTACTTCTTGAGAATTAAGCTTTAAATCACTCACAAGAGGCGGCCTTAGTCAACATGAAATGGCTTTCTCCTAGTTCCACTAATAGCTATTTCACCCAAGGAGGGTGATTTTTATATTCTTGAAAATGAGAACTGGAGCCGAGCCTGAGGCACGCAATATGCAAGCCCCGGTGGGCCCCCAAACCCTGTGCCATGCACTCCCTTTGCAATAAGTCCACTCCCCGGGCTCTTCCTCCAGCTGACCTCCACCTCATTCATTCCCGAGGGGAGGAGGGAGAAGGCAATCGTTATTATTTCAAGCAAACAAAAGCAAAACATAAGTCCAGAGGTCTCCCTTGCCAGAGTTTTTCCCTTGTCAGCAGTTTTCTGTCTCACTTGCTTTCTAAAGCAGACTGAAACTCAAACCCTCGTGGTTAGCTTTTGCCCTGACCCCTTGCTCCTGGGAGCTGATCAGAAGACAGATAGCCTTGGGTCCCTGATATACACGGTGACTTAGCCAGCTCCCATGCCAAGAACGTATTTCTGAAGTGCCTGCCTCTGCAGCATCTGGGTGCTCCACTATAACTCAATCAGTAATGGACATTAGCCTGTCTGCCACCAACTACTTATAATCTCTTTCCAATTTGGGTCAGGGACCCAAAACCGTAATTCTAGTCATGTCAGAGGACTCAGGGGGGAAAAAAAATTCAATTATCAAATTAGACCTTGCTTTATAAGAAAATACCTCTCAGGGCATGGGAACTATCCCAGTCCATTGCTGACTTTTATAGAAACCGGATGCTAAGCATCCCAATTCTAAGTGAGAAACGTCAGATAACCACACCATGTCTGAGTGTGCTCTGCAAAGGCCAAGTGCACAGGCTGATATTAAGAATATTCTAAAAGGCAATCTGTGTATGCCAAAGGGTTGAGAGAAGGCCCGTACTTTTCTGCACCCAACATGCCTAGTAGACTGTTCAGTGACAACTGACATTTCCAGGTGATACCCCCAAAGGCCTGCCAAGTCTTGGAATCTTCTTGGAAAGATAACATTGTAGTCTGTATCATTTATTCTTGAGCCCATTTTCATTGGGCCCCCTACTTCACAGTTATTGAAAGAATCAAATGCGATGTGGTACACACCTGAGCTCTGAGTGTGGAATGCTAAACAAACATCAGATGTCACGATTGCTTCTAAAAATTCTTTAAAAATTGGTATTCAACATGTTGTTGACTATCACTGTATCACCAAATGACGGAACCAGAATGGTCAGTTTACCATCTATCCCATTCCCCAAACATTCTGGAGCAAACAGAGTTGAACTGAAAATACATACATTGAAAGCATATAACTCTATCGCTATTTTTGCTTCCTTCTCAGCAATGCAGGTTTCAAGGAAACAGTTTCAACAGTGCAGAGAGGCTAAAAAGGAGACCAACCTGAGGACGCTTAGTGAACTTCCCTCTAGAATGCACATTAGCCAAAGACATCAGAAGCAGCAAGGGAATCTCACCAAACCATAAGGACAATTTCCTAATCAAAGTCCTCAACAGGAGCCAGCCTTCTAAAAGCCAACTCCCAGACCCTTACTGACTTCATACCACCTTGGAGAACCTGGCACGTGAGGTCTACCTAACAAGTACTCAGTAAATGCATCTGGAAGAAGAGATGGGAGAAAGGAAAGACCAGCTCATCAGGAACTGCTCTGAAATGATCATGGGTTATATAGGCCTTTCTATATTTGTTTCCCAGCCTTTCAAATTTTCTCAGCTCCTTCATCTCCTAAATAAATAAGTTGTCCTGACCAATCTTTTCTTCATTATCCACAGTGCACAAATGTGGCATTAATTAAGTGAGTCATTTTTAAAGTACCGAAAATCACTTCTGCCCCATATTTAATGTCAAATCATTTGGCAGCTCTCCTTTAGGACAAAAGTGAGATAAACACACTTAATTTGGGGACTTCTGTTGCTGTCTTAACCTCTCCCTTCTCTATCTGGCCATCAAAATAAGCAGCGAGTTGGATGTAGGATTTGAAAGATTACCATCATCCATCTCTTTCACAGATGTTTTCCAACCTGGCCTTTACAAGCAGGAATAAATCTAGAAGGGCCCTGAAGGCAGCAAGCAATGCCTTAATATCTTTTCTAATATGAAAGGCTGTTTAATTAAACAGGGAAGGCACTGAGGTTGAACTATTTGGGCTCTTAATACTGAATTCTAGAAATCTGTTTTGGCACAGTGCACCACCCTTCTAATATGCAGTGTCTTCCCAGAGCATCTTAATAATAATAAAAAAGGTCCACACTGCTGAACAGTGATGTTGAAAAGAGAGAAGAAATATCCTGCTACCACAAGATGCCAGACCCCTTCGGAAGGATTTCAAAGGACAGAAAAGGGATGAGTTCTCCTAAACACACAGAGGCAGTTTTAGAAATAGTTTCCCTTTGTTGGAGGTTGGAGTCTAGAGGTCTGACTTTGGGTTCAGTTCTTAACTCCTACTCAGAGACCCAGTCCCCCAAAACAAGCCTGCAAAGTTGGTAAAATGTATTAAAGATGGCATCCTTGGTGCCCATCTACAGGCCCAGAGTCAGGCGATTTGTTTTCCATATCACATGGATCCATCAGGGGATCGCCTGCAAGTGGCTAGGGCAATCTTGTGAATTAACCAAAGGGCTGAGCTCCCCAAACGGTCCTCCTATTCACACGCAGGCTCCCCTGGGCTGGAAAAGTTTCCTGGGAGATACCGGTTCAGGGACGTTGTTCTGGACCCTTCCGTTGAGATCTGACTACTGGAGGGACCCTTCTGCCTCTTGCAGCCCCATCTCCCTCCGGTTAAAGGCAGCTGTTCTTATTTATCGCTGAGCACAGTTTCCACCCAACTGCAGCCCCTGACGGCGGCAGAGGACCCCACAGTCACGGGCAGAATGAGACGCCAAGGCTTCCCCGCTGGAGTCTAGGGGCTCCTGCTCCTGCCCAAAACCACTGATTTTTCCCGCCTGTTCCCGGGAAGCACCCAAATCTCTTCCCCTCTCCCTCAGAGCTGGCCAGGGAGATTCCGCCTTCAGGGTCAGGCAGCGATCAGAGCAGGCCGGCGTCTGTCCCGGGCTCCGCGGATCGCACATTCAAGGCCTCGCGCGCCGGCCCGCGCCCCGCCCCGCGCGGCCCCGCTCATTCATCCG